CAGAATGAAAGTATGCTCGCTTAATTGGCTAGTAAGCCTATCACACACAGACAGCTGTAAATAATACATATATATTCTATATCACAGCCTCTTGCGATTTGCTCATTTCAAATTGCGATTCGATTTCGATTAATTACCTTTTTGACCATGGAACAAAACAGGATTTTGGATTTTCGGATTTTGACATGAAGGTAGACGATTGACTTTAAATCAAAATTAATTTGCATTTTTGACGTGTGTTTTGTAAGTGTTGTCAACTTTTTGACCATCAAAATAACAACACAAAAAAGTTTTCTAGTATAATATATGTTCATTCATCTAAAAAGCCCCAATTAGAATTGACAAATTTACACTGGATTTTGTATTTCTACATCCATGTAAATCGATTTGATGTCAGTTGACTAGACTGTTAAAAGGTATATATATACAATTAGTCATGACAGCATGTGTTTTTAATTCATTGTAACTTATTAAACTAAGTTAATCATGTTCTAACTTAATTTTATAAGTTACACAAGCTGTTTTAAGTCTGATTAACTTAAAATAAGTTCAATGTACTTGCAAGTTTTTTTGTTTTTTTTTACAGTATACTTTCACGTCAAAATGACATCAAATTAATGACTTACATTGGTCTCGACAATGCATCAATGTTTGATGTCAATTTGACAACCTTCATTTTGACATGAAGGTAGACAGTTGACAATAAATCAAAATTAATTTGTACTTTTGACGTGTGTTTTTTAGGCGTTTAAACAACATCAAATTGACATCATGCACGACATCAAAAAGCTTGTAATAAATGCAAACCTTGATGTCCATTAGACATCCACATATTGATGCCTTGGCCATCAAAACAACAACACAAATATTTTTCTGATCTAATATAATCTAATCTAATCTAATATAATATAATATAATATAATATAATATAATATGTTATAATACAATAATAATGTAATATATTATAATACATATAGAATATTATAATATATTATAATATAAAATATAATATATTATAATATAAAATAATATAATATAAAATAATAAAATATTATAATTTTTAGTGATACTGGCTGTTTTGATACATTTAGTAATCACAAAGAATCACAAGTGTTTCTACAGTCATTCAAACATTAGCATCTTTCTTGCCTTTCTATTTTAGGCAAGTAGAGATAATAAACTATTTGTAAAAATGGAAGCAACAACAACAACAAAAACATTTTAAATCAAGTCCTCTTGAGGTTCATTGAGTAATTTTGGTTAAAGTTTCACAGAGCTGTGCTTGCCTAATGTGCAGTGACAATAATGTGGATAACATTTCCTACCTATCACTTGAAATATTGGTACTATTGTAAAAATCGAGACCATAGCAAGTGATATTATAATGCATCTCCTGCAAGTCTGTCATTGTGAAAGCAATACTTCACTTCACCCAGCTGCTTCCCATGAGGAAGTGTTTTATGGGAACCATATTAAAGCAGCACACATGACTACTTCTACAATATTTCTGCAAGCGTTTAGCTGCCGTGCAAAGTGATCATTGATTTAGCACGTATTTATCTGCTCAAGGACACCAGATACATTTTGGAGTGGTGGAGAGGAAGTTTTCTTTTTCTTTTTTTCTTTTTTGGTCTGGTAAGCCATTAAGCACAGTAGATGCTTTCAGTTGCCTTCAGTCTGTCATGATCAACGACTCTCTTTTAGGGCCTGGTAGAGGCACTACCCAATTTATGTATTAGCAACGGGTCCACCCTTAACCCGAGGATATTCGTCTGATACAAAACCACCTGTAATTATATTCTTCATGCAAGACCAACTTCCTTCACTCCATTTTCCAAGCCAGAAAAAACACGAGATGAACCACAGAATGGAAAGCCAGTGACCCAAAATACTCTGGCACTTCTGGAGATTCAAAGGGGAACTCAGGCCTTTTGTTGTTTCAGCTGGAACACTTGTCCCCACATCTTGTTTATGAAAAAACGGGAACGATTGATGTCCAAGTCCTTTGAACGTTTGATTCAGATGAATGGGTGTCAGATGGCCTGACTTATAATGGTCCGGATGAGCTCATTCTTGAATGGGGACATCAAGAAAGTTGCATCATGTTGTAATATTTTTTACGCATCATCGCAAACATTCAGTCCTCTCAAGAACAGATTCAATCAATGTAACAGTCACAGATTGTCTCCGAGGAATACAAGTAATGGCAAAAAAGTCTAAACTTGGGGATGTCATAATCTGATTTTGTATCAGTTTTCTAGTAATTTTTGTGAATTTTAAAGGTTTTACCTTAAAGATTTTGATCTCTTTGACTATGGAACTATGTGCATGTCAAAATTGCTAATAATTTATTTATTTGACTATGGAACTGTTTAACATTCAAAAGTGCTATTCATTCATTTGTAATTATTAATCTATTTTAAATATAAGTCAGCCAACTGTAGCAAAAGTCAAAGATGAAATGTTTAACTGTATTCTACAATATGCAAATGTGCATGTTATGTCATATAATTATTAGGAAATGTGATTTTTTCTATCTTTATCTATCTATCTATCTATCTGTCTGTCTGTCTGTCTGTCTGTCTGTCTGTCTGTCTGTCTGTCTGCCTGCCTGTCTGCCTGCCTGCCTGCCTGCCTGCCTGCCTGCCTGCCTACCTGTCTGTCTACCTACCTACCTACCTACTCTATCTATCTATCTATCTATCTATCTATCTATCTATCTATCTATCTATCTATCTATCTATCTGTCTGTCTGTCTGTCTGTCTGTCTGTCTGTCTGTCTGTCTGTCTGTCTGTCTGTCTGTCTGTCTGTCTGCCTGCCTGCCTGCCTGTCTACCTACCTACCTACCTACTCTATCTATCTATCTATCTATCTATCTATCTATCTATCTATCTATCTATCTATCTATCTATCTATCTATCTATCTATCTATCTATCTATCTATCTATCTATCTATCTATCTATCTATCTATCTATCTATCTATCTATCTATCTATCTATCTCTGTCTGTCTGTCTGTCTGTCTGTCTATATCTACACATTAGTTCTGTCTGGTTCTCAAATCTGCACTCATACAGCCTCCTCACTATTGTGTATGATTCCGCCCACATATAGTGACAGCAGATAAATAAACTCACTACAGTTTGAAAAATTTTGAGGTTGTTGGACAACATAGTGTACTTTTCAAGCTTTTTAGTGGATAAAGTAGTTGTTTAGGTTGCAACTATGCATTTATTTTAGAATTGTGCCTATTTTAAATATTTATAATTTCCGAGATTTAGTGCTTTGGCGGCCATCAACATGTCATACTGAGCAGAACGGTTGACAGTTGACGTTGTCCATCCACAAGATGGCAACAGAAACCGCATAATAGGCCCTGTGAGGATTAAAGCTCCACGTAATTTTAAACTACAGCTGATCAAAGCATTATAAAACTGGTAAGTGACATTTTAAGTCTATCTCTTTCTTTTATATGTTGTAGTGCTGTATTTATATCATATAATTGTAGTGTATTGAGTGTAAGATGGGACTCGCATATCAGGAATGTGTGTATTTTGTGTTGCCCACTCTTTGTATAACCCTGAGATACTTTTTGGTTGGCCATCTGTTTGTTTTTAATGAGTCTCCTGATTTCGTTACTGCAGACTAGTTCAGTTAACAGAAAGAAAGAAGAAATGCCCGCATGTGTTTAGCATTTTCCTTATCACAAACACAACAGTAATCTGGTAGTGTTTGCGCTGCTTTGGCTTTCCCAGGGATAATTATTATGATCTCCCGATTGCAACCGAAATATTTGAAAATGTTTGTAGACTGATGGTGTTTATGCCATTCAACCTTATAATGTGAGCAAAATCGCCTGGTTTGTCATCACTTTAGACATTATGCGAGAGAATGATTCAAAAACCAGCTCTCAAGTAACATTGGTGAATTAGTAACGACTTCTGCTGTTTTGACGTCAGCTGCAGATGGGAATGAATGGTAGAAGAAAGTTGTTCCTCGTACAAAAGGGTTTTAGACTCTGTGTTTGTATATATATATATATATATGTATATATATATTTATACAACAGTTCTGTCTGGTTCTCAAATCTGATTGGCTGATAGCCGTGCGATATTCTGCAATATCAGAACTCCTACAGCCTCTTTACCCTTTGTGTAGTACTCCGCCCACATACACGCTCAACTGTTTAACTGTCAGCTTATGATTTAAATCCAGAAGAAAGTAGTTCCTCATACAAAAGGGTTTTTAAGACTCTCCATGTTTGATTTTGTTTTTATATACACAATTATGTTGTCAAACTGTTGTATAAACGCAATATCACACGAGTAGCAGTGCGATATTGCTCTATATCTGACTATATCCGGCTACTCGTGTGATATTAGTTATATATATTAGTTATATATAACTTACAATAGCTTACAATATGTAACAACAAATTAAAAACTGGTACAAAATGTGGTACCAGCACACATTATGTAGCAGGTTAATTTAGATAGTGTCAGCTCATGGTACCAAAATAGGGGTGAAATAAATGAATTAACAGCAAATAAAATTAAAACAAAATTTCTCTGTTCCCTCACTTTTCCATGATCCTTCTCTTTTATAGCTATTTATGTGTAATTTTGGTAATCACTTACTTATTCTAGCAAGATATCAATACAAGGATAGGATAGGATTGTTTGAACTATAAAAACTAAGAAAATATACAATTTTTAGCCTGGATACTTGATGTTGAAGATTTAAAGTAAGTGCTTTTACATGTTTGCTTCATCATTTGCTAAAAATAACATTTTTGTCACATTCCTCTGTCTAAAATTGTCTTTCACAAAATTCAATAACTTTTGTATTTGAAAAATTTTGCTTCGTTTTATATGTGCTAACTTTCATTAATTTCTAACACTTTTCGACATTAGATTTAAAGGTTTTTACAGAGAATTTTAAGCACACCATATTTCAGAGAGGATAATAAAATGTTGCATATATTTATATATGAACGTTTCCTTCTATAGACATTAAGAATAAAATGGGGAAAAAACAATTACCATTTAATACATTTGGATTGTTATGTTTATGTTGTTATCACATTTACATAATCGAAATAACACGAGCTTTTATTTTGAAAACCAGTGTAGCCGGTAGACGGAAGTTGGGGTCTGCATTTACTCGCGCGCGCGTGTTGATTATGGCAGGCTCCGGTGACAGCATGCAGAACATAAACAACACACTTAGTGAAATAACCTGTGAAAAACTTACAAACACGCATCTCGAAGCTTTACAAACCCTGACGAGCGCTTTCAGAGATGAGCAGTTCAGGTACCACACACTTCCCAGTTCACAAGATGAACAGAAACGTGTTATTTTGTGCTGAAGTCGATTCTTATGCATTATGATGATCATATGTATTACCATTTTTTTCTGTATCATATCTGAATCATCCCCTTAGCCACTTAAACAAACCAGCAGTGTGTTTTCAAATAATAAACATGCAATAATTGCTTGTGGAGAAAGCTGCTGTAAAACGTTCCTCTTATTGAAAACTGACTAAGCTTTGTCTGGTGTCATTATTGTCATGTTTCAGAGGCAGTGTTGACAGGGAGGTTTTTGGAAATCTCTCTGCGGTGCTGTCAAGGCTTTCTGTGGATGTCCAACGTTTGACAGATGAGACAGAATCACAGGAGGGAGAAGCATCATCTCTGTGCTTTAAACTCACAGCAGAGTGTTTCAGAGCGCACAGAAATGCCTGCGTGCAATGCACTCAAAACCAGTGCAGTCTGAGGTAATGTCTGAGACCTCTCATAGTTTGAAATGAAATTTCTTTAACAGGGACAATTCTCATTAATCAGTAGTAAAACTGTAAATAAGCCAGAGTTAGCCATAAGGGCTAATTTTCATCTGTTGAACCATGCCAGATTTTAAAAAGGCAACCTAAAACCAGCTTTATTACACGTACAATAACAGTAAATTACATGCATTAAAAAAGACAGAACAAGAATGCCATAAAAAGCTAAAGAAAAGAATTACACATGATTACGAACTTGATTTGCTTTTAGCCATTTCTTTAACTTGTATTTGAATGTTAAACAATTTGTAATACCCCTTAAATCAATAGGATGTTTATTCCAGAAATGACTGGCTCTAACTGAGAAGACTGACGTGCAAAAGTTGTAAGTCTAAACTGCACAGCTCAGTCTCCTCTAGTCATATATCATGTTGCTCTACCATTATTCCTCGTCTGTGTCACAAACTCACATAATGAAGGTGGAGCAAATCCATTTAAAATTTTACAAATCCTACAAGCAACAGCCAAATAATTCATATTATCAGAGCTCAATAAATACTGTTTTTGTATAATATTACAGTGATGATACCTTATAATACTCTTTTGATCAAATACTTTAGGGGCTCTATTTTGACGGTCCATGCGCAGAGCGCAAAACGCAGGGCGCAAACGCTTTCAGGGCGTGTCAGAACACAGTTTTGCTAAATTAAGGACAGGAAAATCCGCTTTGCGTCGTGGCGCATAGTCTAAAAGGGTTGAGTTTATATTCTTTATGAGTTATAGGTGTGTTTTGAGAATAAACCAATTAGAGTATCATCTCCCATTCCCTTTAAGAGCCAGCTGCGTCGCGCCATAAGCGCATTCGCTATTTACAGGACGTAAAGTAAGTCTAAGTGGAAAAAATTTGCATTTCACAAGCAAACAGTTAACAGTTTTTTTAACAGAAAACTGTTAAATAGAGCATCTACTCCGTAAGAATGAGAGATAATGGATGTATTTTCACTTTCGCTCGTGGATAGGGAAACCTTTGCGCATAGACATCAATTAGTCTATAAATAATTAATTGCGTTTGTTAAGCGCAAATAATAGTTTCAAAACTGTTTCTAAATTCAGTTCTAATTTCCAGCAAACGAATAAATGAACAATAATAACAAAGTGTGCTCGAAAACCTGAGTTATATCCTAAAACACATGCTGTGCCCCATATGGTCTAAAACCTGACAGGTGGGCTAATCTAAGCTTGTTTTTAATAAAACAAATATAAATATGGATATAATAAATAATACTGCTAATAATAATAACATTATACAAAAGCAAATTGTTATGAATGAACTGAAAAAGCCTCCTGAGATGAAGAAGGCATAAAAGCAGTGATTTTTCATATTTATGTAGGCTAGAAAATAGTATGTTTTGTAATATTTTAATCCTTTATAATTATATCCTATATCTATTCTTATTATATCATATATATATATATATATATATATATATATATATATATATATATATATATATATATATATATATCCTTAATATTAAATTTTTTTCATATGTAAAGATATTTGCCTATTGCTCTCTTGTGCGTATTAAGCAGTGCGTAAGCGAGGCGCAACTCTGCGCCGGAGTTTAGACCGGGTTTGTTTTGGTCTACTGAAAAATCTATTTTAGTTTCTCAAAATAGCGACGCGCCAGCGGTACACCTCAGAACGCCTTCCTTTTTAGACCAGAACGCCTATGGCCGCACATATGAGTGCTAATGCATTTGCTATTTAAACAGCGTAGCGCAACGCCTCAAAACGACTATTGCGCCGCGCCTTGTGCCACATTGTGCCGGGTGCATGATAGGGCAATAGGTGTCTGTTTATAAAGTGAATCAACTGATTTTAAAACAGTTTTACTTTACAGAAAAATTGTTGTATATATATATATAATGACAAATTATGTTAAATAATCTTGATTACAACATTGATGAATATGACTTCTGCCATAATCTCAAGCAGCCCTACTTTGTACATACACTTGAAGTCATAGTTTGAAATAAAATTTCTTTAACGGGGACAATTCACAACAACACATTGTCTTCACTGCAAGAACGTTTTTGTTTTGCAATAGAATTTTTTTTTTCAGATTTTTCATAATTTCTGGATGCCAAAATCAAAAATGAAACTGTTTTTCGGATTAATTGCACAGACCTATTAAAAAGAGTCAAATGATAAATGTCAATATTGTCCTCATTGATCCTTATATAATTTTATTATATTTGCCTGCAAGTTGATATTTATTGGAGAATTGTGTACAGTATGTTTTTGAATGAGATGACTGTGTTCTGTTAGTTTAATAGTATAATTATAGCTATAGGATAATATCTTGATGGATTGTTGCTTTTTTAGAAATGCTGTTAGTTTCACGTGCATTTTGAACCTTGTATTTATTATGTATTTTAAAATATTTATTTTGTAGATTAATTTATGCAGATGCAAAACAGCCATTTGGCTAATTCTTGCACATTGTTAATTTCTGTATTTTTATGTACATATGTGCATTGTCCCTGTCAAATAAATCAGAAAAAATACAACTAAAAAAATCTATGTCAAAAAATAGAGGTCTATAAATAATTCATAATTATAATTTTTTTTCTTTGCCCTATATAGAATAAATGTTTTATTATTTTACACAAATATCCTTTTTTTGATGTTTTCTTTATACAAGATCCACAAATGTTTGGACGTGTTGTCCTAGTCTTATGAACAAATTTTTGTAACATCATAATCATTATTGTATATGAATATGACTGTGGGTTTTATAAACCAGAAGACAAACATTTTATCTTTACAGAGATCTAGGCTCTATCAAGCGATCTTTTGAGATTTTATCCAATCTCATCAAGATTTCATCCAGAGGTTCAAATGACATTTATGACGGTGAGTTGTAATCATTTGAGCTCCGTCTGAAGAATCTTCTTCTTGAGACGGAGGCAGATAAATCAATGTACTGCTCTCTCCTTTGGCAGCGCTTCGATGTGGAATTCAGTTTCTTGGTAACATTGCTGTAGGAAACCAGCTCTGCAAAGATGACATCTGGGAGTTTGGTTTCCCACATATCTTTTGGTGAGTGAATTTATGGTCAAACGGCTGCTGGTGCATTTCTTATGATGTCATTTGAAAAAGATTGTTCGCTCTTCACTTTGTGATGTTTAACTGATTTGTAAATTTCTGCATTGGTGTGGTTTTGTGAAATTTTATTTTTTTGTTCAAGGGACATTTTGCAGCTCCCTGATGAAAAATCCATTTCATATACGTGTATGGTGATCCACACTTGTCTGGATGAACACAAGACGGAGCAGTTTGTTGAAGATACACAACGGCTTAAACTGACTCTGAAGATCATGGACTTGTGCAGGACTTTGCCTGATCTAGACTGGACGTAAGCATTGTGGTTTGATTTGTTTTCATTAAAATAAACATTTGAATAAGCACATTAATTTATCTTCGCACTAAGAATTCTAACTATAGTAGCACCTGCACCAATGCACCATAACATTTTGTTTATTGCAAGTATGCGTTTTTTTAATTTCACATTAAAGGAACACTCCACTTTTTTTTTTTTTTGAAAATTGGCTAATTTTACCACTCCCTTAGAGTAAAACAGTTAAGTTTATTTATTTTTATATGTATTCAGTTGATCTTTGGGTCTGGCAGAAGCTCTTTTAGCTTAGCTTAGCATAGATCATTGAATTGGATTAGACCATTAGCATCTCGCTCAAAAATGACTAAAAGGTTTCTGTAAATTTTATATTTAAAGCCTGACCCTTCTGTAGTTACATGGTAGATTAAGATCAATGTTATATCATTGCACCTGCTGCGGCTATACTATGGCAAAGTTTCTTGTTTATTACACCTGGAATGAGAGTATAGAAAATAGGAAAATTTTTGAAGCTCTGGTCATTTTTTGAGCAAGATTCTAATAGTCTAATTCCATTCAATGATATATGCTTGCAATATTTACATACATATAGGAAGTGCTACTTATGCAAGGGAACTGCTAGTACTCAGAGAAGTAAAAGCTAGATTATGGAGGGAGAGTTTTTTCCAGTGGATTATATGGGTTTTCAGTTGTCTTTTGAATGAAATCAGTGAATCAGCAGTCCGTGTGGGAATGGGAAGATCATTCCACCAGCGAGGAACATTGAATGAAAAGGTTTTGGAAAGTGATTTACAGCTTCTCTGTGGTGGTACCACAAGGGGGTGCTCACTTACTCTCACTCACTCTTGGATGAGCTGCAACATTCTGGATCATCTGTAGAGGTTTAAGGGTGCAAGATGGGAGTCCATCCAGTATTGAGGTAGTCCAATTGTTAAATTACAAGAGCTAGGACTAGAAGATAGGTTAGGAAAGGTCTGATCTTTCTGATGTTGAGCTGGTTATTTTGGATAACTTCAAGATTTCTTAATGATTTAGATGAGGCTTTAGTAGATGAGAAATATATAACAGTTAGATGAAGAAATTATGTTGAAAGTGTGGAGTAACTGGGTAGACAAGTAGTTGTGTACACTGTAGGTGATGCTTAATATGGTGTAGTGTTCCTTTAAGCGTTAGTTCACACAAAAATTCTGTTATCGGTACATCTTTCACCACTTATTTGAGTTACTTTCTAATGTTGAACAAAGAATGTTAGGAAATGTTTTCTTCATTTTTTGATCATTTGGCATCCTTGTGGATGTCATTGGTTGATTTTTATTCCTAAGAATGACTTCTTTTGTATTAAACTGAAATTCATGAAAGCTTTGAACCGATTGAGTGTGAGTAAATGATAAGGAAATGTTCCTTTTTGGGTGAAGTAACACTTAAAATGTTCGAGTAGGTTGCATGGATTCTGATTTTCTGTCAGTGGTATTATAAAAAAAACAACATCGTTCTAAATTTAACAATTTTTGTTGTTTTTGATATTGTATTTTTGACGTGGACATTATATTTAAAACTAGGTCTTTATTATCATTATTGTTGTCCTCAAAAGAAACTACTATTTAGGCTTAATTTGTTGTGATTTTTTAAATTATATATTTCTTATTTTGCAGGGTCTTTATTGTCACACAGCATTTCCTCAAGTCTACAGAGCTCATTAGGAAGATGTACACTGAGATGACCAATGAGGAAAGGTATAAACTCAAATTTATGCATCAATTTAACCCTTTATTTGTCACTCATTGAAATACTGAGGGTATTACAAGACTATTGAACTTTTAGGACAATGTCAGTGAAATTACCATTTATCGTTCTTTGCCGGATAAAGGGTTAAAGCGCCAAAGAGGACAAAAATGTGTCGTAAAGGAAGCTTTTTAAAATATTTTTTACACTTTCACTGGCATATTTACCAGAACGAGCCCTATTGATAACAACCAAAATGTAATTTGTTTTAATGATATTAATTATTTAATTACAGTTTGTTGCTATTACTGCTTTTTAATAAAAAAAGGACAACAGCATGTAGTATTTTCCATAAACTACAGGCTAAGCAGATTGTATTGGATCATTACAGTCTTGGGTCAGCAAATGATCAGAAACAACATTAGCGTTTCTGTGTGGAGTTTGCATGTTCTCCCCATGTATGCGTGGGTTTCCTCCGGGTGCTCCGGTGTCCCCTACAAGTCCAAAGACATGCGGTACAGGTGAATTGGGTAGGCTAAATTGTCAATAGTGTATGTCTGTGAATGAGTGTGTGTGGATGTTTCCGAGGGATGGGTTGCTGGATAAGTTGGTGGTTCATTCCACTGTGGCGGACTCAGATTAATAAAGGGACTAAGCCAAAAAGAAAATGAATGAATGTTATTAACTTGGCCTGCAGTGCTCACAAGCAGGTGTTTCAGTCTGCTGTTGTGACGCATGATAAAGCAGGGAATGAGTAGAATGAAAGTGAGTGAGTGCTCAGAAGCTATTTTAATTAATTTATTTAAATTAAACAAAGGTATAGCCTTGCTAACAACATAAAAGTCTGTTAACAAAGAATGTATGACTTACATTTGCAATAAAACATGAAATTTGTACATATAGCCCCTTTATTCATTCATTCATTTTCTTGTCGACTTAGTCCCTTTATTAATCCGGGGTCGCCACAGCGGAATGAACCGCCAACTTATCTAGCAAGTTTTTACGCAGCGGATGCCCTTCCAGCCACAACCCATCTATGGTAAACATCCACACACACATTCGCACACACACTTATACACTACGGACAATTTAGCCTACCCAATTCACCTGTACCGCATGTCTTTGGACTGTGGGGGAACCGGAGCACCCAGAGGAAACCCACGCGAATGCAGGGAGAACATGCAAACTCCACACAGAAACGCTAACAGAGCCGAGACTCGAACAAGTGGCCTTGGTTTAAAAAAATACTTTTGTGCTTTTTAAATGTTGTATTGTGTATTAAAAACGTTCATAAGCCTATTATGTTTCTAATTACATAAAAAAAGGTAATTTGTTATTTAGACAGCAAGACAGCTCACTACCAGGGATTAAAACAGAGCTTGAGCATCACTCCTATTCTTCATCACTTTTGTTATATACATATATTTCATAATTCGTGTTAAAGTAGATTGTTTTATGTATGTAATTGTATTCTTACAGACTCACACTACTGGAGCTGATATTAGCACAGCTTGGTGTTGTTGAAGAGCAGAAGGACTGTTTGATGCCTCTGAGTGCTGCTCAATTTCTGGCTTCCTGCTTCACTGATCACGGCAGAACTGTTCTCAGTCTGAGCTCTGAAGCATCTGATAACCAGGTCAGATTCAACTGCAAATGTCATATTACTTCTTAGCATGTTTGTATATTCCAAGCTTTTCAGAATAAAAGTAGCATTCTCTAATTGACTATAAATATTTATATATCTGAAATATATCTGAATACTGTTAAACTACTTTTGGAAAACATTTAATTTAATTTAGGTTTATTGGTAGCACATTTTTTAAATAATATTTTGTTTACATTAAAAAATTCTGTGTAAACACAAGTGCAAATTTTTATTTGTATTTTTCCTTTCCTTTTTCTCATCAGTGCAGTTTTGATTTGGTGGGATTTGTAGCCAGTTCACAGAAAAATAGTAATTATGAATTTTGCTTAAAAGATATTGAGTTTATATTAAGAAACAGGCAATATTGTGGATGTTTTTATCAGAATATGTTTACAATCGATATTTGTTGTTTAAATGGATAGCTATTTTTTATATAATTTTTTAACAAATTCATTACTGTAGATTTCTATGTTACATTTATCAATTAACATATTACAACATGTACATTTGTAATATGTATAGTATTGACTATCGTTCAGAAGTTGGAAATCAGTAAAAAAGCGATTACATTTTACCTTCAGATTCCAGATTAATTCTATACATCAAAATAAATTCTAAAAATGTATCAAATGTATCAAACGGATACATTAGGCATAAGTGTTAAGCAACATAACTGTTTTAAGCATGTGATAATTACATGGTATACATTTATTGAGCATCTGATTATAATAATAAATTGATTTCTGAAAGATCACTAGTTTTGCCATAACTACAAAAATCACATTTGAAATTAAATATTGCAATACTAAACAGCTGATCAAATGAATGCAGCCTTGTTGAGAGACTTACCACTTACTAAACTGTTAAACAGCAGTGTACATTTTGATGGAAGTTGCACTAAGCCTGCTATTTGTCTTGCATTTGTAGGCAGCATTGGTTATCATCTGGCTTTTAGACATCCTTTGCGAGATGACCTCTGACCGAAAAGAGTTTATGTCACTACAGGATCACCCTGACCTTCTGAGCGCCACAGTCGGTAAATGTGAAGCACTGCCTTTTGCTTTTGTTGGAGATAAAAATCTTAATGCATTCTTAATGTGAATACACAGAAACCTTTGGAAATTATCAAGATTTTTCCATGAGTTGGAGATAGAAATATTTGTTTTGGTCCAACCGCATACTTACTCCTTCAAAAGTCTCTTGTCTTAAAAACATGTTGCTGATCTCACTATCCCTCATACTGTTCGTCTTGCAGATGACTAACTAAACTGAATAATCTGCCACACACCCCTATAAGCTTTTTCCCACTTTCCCATTTAAAACACAAAGCAGTCATTTCAGAGGGGCGCTGTATGAAACTGACACCGCTGACAGGTCACAGCTCACTGCCGACAGACATAATCTACATTCTTTACTGACTCTCCTGTCATCCGGCCAGCTCTGATGTCACACCTTAAACATGGGAGATATGCCAGTATGCTTTTCACTCTGTCTTATTCTCATCTTATTTGTACAGTGGAGATCAGAATTAGAACACAACTTCAGCAAACTAACCAAACATGGATATCAGAAATACCAAGCAAAAAGCACAAATGCAAACAAAGTTAACCAAAAGATGCTCAAACTGCTAGAATGAAAAGATTTTAAAGGAGAGCTGGTATTAGGGAATTGGCTGAAACTGGTACTGAGTTGTAGAGCAGGAACCAATTAGGGTGGAACAGTGACTGGATTGGTTGCAGCAGTGAAAGGTAAAACAGACAACTAGGACACAGCAGTAGGCTGGATAAACAATGAAGTCAACTGGGGTGATAGGAAGAAATATATGATTAGACAAAAACAATAAATAAAAATGTGCTGACACATAAAAGGAGCAACCACTGACATACCAGCAGTGGGGCAGCTCATGTCCCATGGAAAGGCAAGCGAGTACCATTCACAGAGTCAAGCTTGGGAACCGCTTTCCCATAGGTCCCATGGCCACTGACAATTTTTTTTTTCCTGCAGGCAGGAAGATAACAAGTCCCTGACCTTTAGTGCCTGAAATTGGACATCTAGAGGAAGTGGAAACTGCTCTTTGATGGAGGATTTCGGTGCCACCGGCCCTTAGTCCAGTTTACTTGACTTAGCGGTGCACTGAAACAGGGATGTCACCTTCGATACAGGCTCAATGCAGCCACCCAGATGGAGTGGGAATCAGCTGCGAAGCGGTGGAAGATGCCGCAGGGGAAGTCATTTGCGAGGAGAAATCCCTACAGCTCCCAGCGGCTAGTAATGCATATGGAGTCACTTAAAAATGTAACTGCACATAGCTGTCACTGTTCCTCAGAACGCTGGATGACAAGTGGGCGTGCCAACATCATAATGTGCCGGCACCTAACTCCTCTGCTTAGGACCCGTTTACACTAAAACGCTTCAGTTTTAAAAAGCACAAGTTTTGCTACGGTTACGCGATCCGTCAACACTACGCCAGAGTTTTCGAGCAGTGAAAACACCCCTGGTAAAGTGTGTGCTCACCCTAGCTTGACACGGCTGACTTTGGGTATGGTACGCAAGGGCGATGGCGTTGACTATCCAGCGGGCCAACCTTTGTTTAGATATGGCACTTCCCTTTTGCTGACCTTCTAAACAAAGAACTGCTCAGAAGAATTTTTTGCTCTGAGTGTGGTGCGCGGACACAATAAAGCAGCGAGAGGGTTGGGTCTGGGACACTATTCGTTGATCGAAAATGTCTTCAAGTCCTAGATTCTCTTGAACGACACCAACGCGGTCAGCAGAGCTGTCTTACGTGACAAAATCGTAAAGACTTTAGATTTTAGATAAAGTGCGGAAAGGACTACAGAAAGATCCCAAGATGATATAAAAAGAGTACGAGATGGGTTAAGCCTTCTAGAGCCTCTGAGGAACCGGATGACCAGGTCATTCACCAGCTCATGGTGAGTGGAAATGGCTGCCACGTAAACCTTCAGTGTGGAGGGTGACGGTATGTCCTCCATCTTAGCCTGAAGGAAGAAAAGCACGACACTGATCAGGCAAGTTCGGGAAACTTCTCTGCAAGAAGGCTTTAGCCTAAATGATTGTGTTAACCACCGAAGCCAGTAGGTCACCTAAGTCTTCCGCGTCGCATCTGTGGACCACACGTGGAAGTTTGAGAGAGCAGAACGCTGGTGCTAAATTGTACCCCATCCCTGAGAAAAAAGGTCCTCCCTCAGAATAATCTGCCAAGGAGGGGCTATTGCAAGGAGTGTGAAGTCTGTAAACCACGTCTTGTTCGGCCAATGAGGCACAATGATCAAGACCTGCTCCTCGTCCTCCCTGACTTTGCACAGTGTCTGTGCAAGCAGGCTCACTGGGTGAATGCATATTTGCGCATGTCCCAGGGCCAGTGCATCCATGCCGAGGGAGCCCTTGTTCAGGAAATACAACCACTAGCAATGGGTAGTGTTGGTTGTGGCTAACTGGTCAACCAGGTCCTTGCCAAAATGTTCCCATATCTGCTCTAGTCCATGGACCCACAGCCACATGTTCGTTATACACCGCACCTCAACCTGTGGAGGAGAGACGTGCTCTCATGCCAACCAAATCCAGCTCCACACCAAAAAACACAGTTGTCATGGCAAAATCACCATAGTGGCCATTGCCCTCCTGAAGGCACAAATTGCAGTTTTGGTTGTGATTAACGCAAAATCGGTCGCTGTCCTGAGGTCATGTATAACCAATGGGGAAGGATAGGCCAAGAATCGGTCAACGCCTGTGATTGGAAGCGCTGGTACGTAGCCATCGCATGTAACACGGAAGTGGCCTGGCACAAATAGCCTACGTGCTTTGGTTGGGAGACGGGGCTCATTCTGCCTGGTGGGCAAAGATTGACCTCTATCGCCCTCTCGATCTGGGGAATGGCCACATACGCCCTGGCTGATCTTTTATCAAGGGCAAGGAGTTACTGACTTAGTAAATGACTTACTGCTCTGGCAGAGACGGGGGCCTTCCAAGCCTAAGTAAGCTTCTCATACACTTTCGGGTAGAAAGGGGGTTGGGGGCCGGAGAGAGTTTTACCCCAATCCTGGCCCCCACATAGTACCCATCTAAGTGGTCTGGCCGCTGGTCTGGAGGCTGCGAAACCGTTGCCACCTGGAAAAGCATAGCCACCATGTCTGACTCCTGATCTGACACTGCATGCAGTGGAAGCTGATCTGGTCTATCATCAGAAATTAAGAGCTCACCTTACGATGCCACGAGGGACATTCACTCACCTGAGTCATCAAACAATCAAGCGACGATTCTGGAGGAAGCACTGGCAGTATCGTCTGAATCCTGGATAGGGTGCAATGATGAGGAATGGGAGGACCACAAGGGTTAGCTAGCAATTGAGCTCCCATTGTAAGCCTCTGGTCCCCCTGCAAACTCACCGCTATGCGGACAAGCACAGAGGTAGTTCGCACATTTAGCTGTGCTAGCCATGACCTCAGCATGGCCACGGACATGCTCTCGCAGTGAGGGCATGATTTGTTTATGAGTACTGCAGCGTCATTGCCTGACAATCATACAGATTGTAATATTTCTGAAAATAATCTGGTCTTTCTAAATTGTTTCACAATTTATTTTAAATTCACTATTAATTTTCATTGTGTCTACTCACAGATCTCCTGAAAGAGATTCACCTACTGGGCAAAAACAGTAGAAATGTGTTCACGGCAGCACATAATTTCACCTTGACAAGGCCAGAGGGCGCCGAGACCCACCCGGTCCTCAGTTTCAAAGCCCATCTCATTCGTCTGATTGGGAACTTGTGTCACGGACATGTTGTCAACCAAGACAAGGTACTGTATTGCACATAATCATATGTTATGCATTTATACAAGAATAGTCAAAGATGAATTCTTGAGGGAATATATGCACAATGCTTGCTATCTATTTTAATGATGTTTTATATTAAACCCTCCAATTATGAGGAACATGTTATTTTGATGAGGAAAATAGACAAACTTGAATTTATCACACTAAATCTGGATTATTCTACTAAGCAGAAAATACATAGAGAAACCAAATGATCACAGTAAATGAAACATCTATTGATTGTAGTATTATAATAGAAAACATACATAAAAGTTTCATCAGTCATTTTTAACAAAGGGGAAATATTATATTAGGATACATTATTAGGTTATATTAAGATACATTTTTCTTGCTGGTCATCACTTGTATTTTATGTAAAAACAAATGTGTGTGTCTCTATTGTGTACAAATATATGTGCAAAATATGTAAAGATTAGGTCCTATATTTATTTCGAGATTTCATAAAATCGTTAAAACCCCAGTACTTATGTAAAGTAAAACAGGCCAATTCTTAAACAAGACATAAAAAAGATAGGTTACTTTGTTCTTTAGAAGAGGTCTTGAGCTTTTAAACAACTAAAACTAAAGAAATCAAAATTAAAAATCTTAATCCCAAACTTTCAATGATAATGACTGCACCTTCCTTCAAATACATTAATAAAGCAGAGTTGATTGATGGGTAATAAAACCTGAAATAGTCAAAGTTATTGCCAAGGGAAGGAAGTATTTAGCAGAAATCTTGGAAATCATCTTTTAAACTTCCCCTCCTGTGATTTCTACGACTGGTAGGAATGTGGAGGAATGTGTTGGCAATGAGCAATGAAACTAACGCCACAGAGTTTGCAGCCAGCAAATCCAGTAATGTACTGATCAACCCAGTCGTGGTAAACACATTAACAATACTGTGGTTTAGAGCCTCGCTCAGGCCTGGGCTTTTAGTTTGTGGAAGCTCCCTCCTTGAAAACTAATTAGGGGATTAACGCCACTTCATAAAGACTCAAGAACCAAGCTGAATTTCATGCCTGTATCATCTCATTTCATCCTTAAATCTTTTTCCACTTTGTTTCATTTCTCACTGTTTTTTTCTTGTTAATAAATCCCTGTGTAATCAGCCAATGGACGGATTTTATCCTTTCTGGTTTGCATCCATCAATCAGCACAGAGGAGAACCTGCTACTGGCCTTCTTAAATAGGGTCAAGGCATACAACTGAGAGGTTAAAGGTCAAACAACAATAGCAGGTCTCCCCCAGCCTGCACACTAACTTTCTGCTCGAAAAGATTGTGATTGAGTCCCCATCAATGCTTTTTATAGGTTGTACAAACAAAGCAGGTTTTTGCAGTTCATTTGGTCTGCTATTGTATTAATTTTTTGTTTGCAAGTATAAGTTAAAGTAAGTTAAATATTGTTTATAAAAGCATTGCTAAATGCAAAAAATGCATTAAACTAGCTTTTTTTTACTTAAAGGTGCAGAAGGTGTTCTGCCTAAATGCTCTCCTGTTTGCAAAATATGTTTGAAATCCTCCCCTTTCATCCAAAACCATGCCTCCTAAAATCCCAAACACGCACATTAAAGATGACAGAGACTCACTAGATCATGTCATTCCCCAGTTAGAAACTGTATAGTACTTTATAATACTACTATTCTGAGCGAACAACTGTATTATATCCAGCATGTTTTCAGTTTTGTAGCATAAATGTGCAATATTTCATGCATGCAAGGATCGCTGGTCTCACTCTCTCATACGCTTTGTCCTAAAGTGACTGCTGTATGCTTAGTGTTTGGCCGGCAGGGTGCAGGAATTACACTTATTACTAAGCCATACTTACATGCTGTTTCAGATCGAATATTCAACATAGCAACAATCCCTATAAACAATATAGGTAGTGCATCACAGGTTGTCGTAAATATAAAACCAACTTTAGGCTAGGCGGAATAGTACTGTTTACTTATGTTTTGTTGTTAAACTGAATACAAATAATTGATTATCATTGCTGTAAAAGGTAACTTAACTGCATAATCGATGCTGTAAAAGGTAACTTGTGAAATTGAAAATTGTCACATCAGTCTTTCGCCGGAAGTTTCAGTGGCTGAGCAACACTTCAGTGCATATAGCCCATTTGCCCAACAAAATCTACATAAGCTTTGCTTGACTAAAAGAGTTTTAAAACATAACATTACCTGCCTAAAATAAATACTTCAGCCATGGTGTCATCCTTCCTCCAGCAAAAGTAACTCCAATATTGATTCAGTACTTTAAAAGTTTTGATTCAGCATTTGTTTTTACTGCTGTTACTCTTATGCGCAGGTGAACATGCATGCAAATGGAAGATCTGCGTGAATCACCTTTAAGAGTTAAAACATTTTCTTGTTTTTTTATCAGCAAAGAAAATGTTGCAAAGTTGCGAAGAAAACGTTTCTCATGCTTATTAATAAATGAAAATTTATGAAAACTATATAGACATGATTTTTACAAAAAAAAACAACTAATAAAATAACAGAATCACAAAACACACGAAAAATCCAATTTAAACAATGGCTAAAAAAATTATTACTAAAGGTGACATTAGATAATAAAACCACACTTCTACTGATGTTTTTACTGTTCAATGCATATATAGCTTAAGCAAAATGTGTATTGTGTAAATATCCTACAAGCATATTTGTTATGGAAACTTGTAAATGATTGATTATTACCAGTTTATTAATAATTTACTAACTTTTCATGCAAAACACCGTAGCTGCACCTGTTAACAGACACATCAAATATTTAATATGATAATAAAATTATAATTTGTAATTTAACAGAAAAATGATGACTACAATGCATATTTAAAGCTACATAATTTTAAAATAAACACTATTTAAAAAAAAAACAAATTATATTATTAATAACATTATCTAAATTAAAGTTTAAAATATCTACAGAAGTTATTAATATTCAAATTACATTTCTCAAGACCTTCCCTTTTTTACATCCACTGACTTTTCACTATTTTACTACAAAAGCATGTCTTTTGCTTGCATATTGCTACATTAAATATCAGTTTATTCCACCAAAGGTACCTCCATTTTGGACATTTGTCCAGTGTTTGCTAGAAGAAGGTGGAGGCACAGTTTAATTTTGGGCCAAATTAACATTGGGATTGTCAATGCCTTCAAATGCTGCCTCTGCAATAATCTCCTACATATGAGCATAGCCAAGCAAAACTAATCCTGTGGCCGAAGCATATGGTTTTCCTTCTTTTTATTGCTAACACTACTTTCTCAATCAAACTCCATGCTAGTCATTAGCATCAGAAAATTGTCAGGGCTCTACGGCTTGTGTTTTCTCTTTCTTTCTCAGGTTTTTTGTAATGATCCAAGGTGGTTAAATGGCAACCGCTGTAGCTCTTGGGTTACGATATGCACTCAGGATATGGTACGCTGTAGTTAGAAACTGCATGTGACGAAAACCAGCGCAAACCTATATGACTGCGCCAAACCAGAACTCAACCGCATGGACTTTCCTCTATGGAAAGTAATTGTTTTCTGACCAGTCTGCCTCATGATGTCTCTGTTAAAGGCAGTTTTCCCTCTTTTTTTTTGTTTTGATTTCCTATAGGTTAGAGAAATGGATGGTATAGCTCTCATTCTGGACAACTGCAGCATTGACAGCAACAATCCCTGTATCCTTTTGTGGTGTGTATATTAAACATTTTCTGCTTTAGTTTACAACCGCCTTTAAAAAAACTGTGAATAGCTTTATATTTGGGGTCACTGTTAATATACATCACACTTGGGTTTACTGTTGGAATTTTTTGAGGGTACACTAATGTTAAAATAACTATAAGCTAATTGTCATTGCCTTGACTTTATTTTGGATTAATACATGGAAAAGCAAAAGACTGCACTACAAAAATGATTGTTTGACATAGTATAGGGAAACTTAGGTAATTCAACATTACAGTATAAATATTTTGGTATGTGGTAAATATTACACCTTAAGAGACATCACGCAGCATAAAAAGTAAAAGAAATAAAAAATACAAATAAAAACATAGGAAATTAGCTTGTAAAATCAAGTATTCCATATTTGTTAATAAAAACTAAAGAACCTGAAATATTAAAAATTAAAATGAATTATTTTTAATATTATGAGAATCATAGGAGAATTATGATTGCAATATTAACATTCTGTGTTATAAACTGTTTAATTAAACGATTAAAGCCCTGGTCAGATCACACGATTTTTATTGTTGCTTCCGAATGTCACTATTATGTGATTTATTTATTTATTTTTTTAAATCAAGATAAAGTGCCAGACTACATGTTCCTTCACAATAAGTCATCCCGTGACGTCTATGACGAACGTTATTTCCCAAAGCAGTCACTAAGTGTTCCTATAACAATATTTTTAGTCTCGGTTTAATCTTATTTCAATCTCAATAAACACTGATGCTTGCTAACAACTAGTGACTGAATTATTCAGGGGCATTCGTTACAACATTATTAGGATTATTACGATATTTACTTCCAAATATAAATATATATTTTTCTGCCATGGGTTTCTTATTGAACACTTCCTCGCCTGAACTTGCTGTAAGTGAGAAAATGAAAGCACATGAGCAGCAGCAAGAAAAAATCAGATGCTCAAGGCATAATTTTTTAAATAATGAGTTTTAAAAAATGTGCTAACATATGACTGAGATTTGTGATACAGTCAAAGTGAAGCATTCATTAAATCCTTATTTTCCTCAGGGCGAAACAAATCATCCACCCATATAGTTCGAGGGACACAAACAAAAATATAATTTGT